TGTAATAAAAAAAAGACAAGTACATTTTTATTAACTCTTAAAATATTTCCATTTCATATCAAATATATTTTCACTCAAGCACTAGATCCTTGTTCTTAGGTAACATGGCCTACCAGAAAATTGTGTATTAAAAAGTACTGAAATGCCAACAATCGTCATAAATACTAAGAGATAATAGAAATAAAAAGTATTTTAAAATATCTTACTATGAAAGTTTCCCTCTATTGTTAACTGTTTTCTCAAGACTTAATTACTTAGGACATTGTCATGCATGAGTGAATATAGATCTGTATTTTAGTTAATATTCTTTATAATTTTGAACTTCTTATCTCATCTGATTTATTACTTTTTGCTTCACTGTAGGCTAATAAGTGTTTTTACTAGAAATAGAACTATCCAATTTGTTACTTTTTTGTAATTACTTTGGATTTGCATTTTAATATTATCTTCAATCTTCAGTTTCTTGATAAGATATTTATCATAAGGTGTAGTTTTAATTAAAACAAATAATTTAGTCTATTTACTTACCTTGGGGCAGGGAAACTCATTTTGTTGTGCTATGCTGCTAGGGAATAACTTACTTGAATTCCACTGTCGTTCCACTGTGTATTGAACTCCCTTCTTTAGGTAACCCATTTTAACAATGGGAAACTTGACCATCAGATACAAGGGGTGCGTGTATGTGTCTGTGTGGAAAGAGTTTTTAGGGAATTGACCTGGTGATTGTGAGAAGGTACAAGTTCGAAATTTAGAAGGCTGTATTACGTAATGCCTTATAGAGAGAACACGTGTATTAGATGAACTTCTTCCACCATGAGTTACAGTGTTATTGGATATGAATTCAATGTTAGTACATTATAATACATATAAAATTGGGTATTTTTAAATGACAGCATGCATAATTCTAAGTTATATGTGGAGCTATTGATGAAAAGGTTGGAAACAAAGATCTGATACTGTTATTTCCCTTAGGAGCTATATTTCAGTATTTGTGGTCACTTTATAAACTTTAAAGACCACAAACTGTAAGAATCAACTATATATACATATTATAAATTCTTTAGATTGTAAAGAAGATATCATATCAAAATCAGAATAGGTCCTTATATACTACAAAATGATTTAACACTACAAAATTTAATGTGCATACTTTACCACGTATACAGACTAAAGAAAAGTCACAGGTCTTAATTTGAGTTATCATTGAGATAAGAAGAGTAGCTAGGTTTGTGTTAATTTTTTTTTAAAAAACTAGCAAAGCATAAAAGGAGTTGTTTCTGCTGTATAAAGGGTAGTATACAAAAACTACAGGAGTCATTGTACTTAATGGTGAAATACTGGAATATTTCCCCTGTGGCTGGGCACAAAATGGGTACCAATTATGTGAAATATTCTATGACAAGTTATAGGCAAAGCCAGGAGACATTAAAAAAAAAATGATAAACAGGAGAAGAAATACATATGTAATTTTCTGTAGATTATGTAATATGTGCCCATACTAAAATACCCAAAATAATATATTGATAAGTGATTGAGCTGATAGAAACTTAGTAAGATACTAGATTCAAAATCAGTGTACAAAAATCATTTGCATTTCTGTAACCAACAATAAAAATTTGAATTTGAAACAAATAGCTGTTTTCCATAGGGAAAATAATACCATCCAAAAAAATATGATAGCAAGAAATATAAATACAAAGTAAAGATATTTGAAACCTTCTAAAAGGTTACATATTGTGTAAAGGTACTGTTATATAGTCACGTACATGAAATAGCTATAGAAACACAGTTGACTCAAAACTTAACATTAAATAAAAAAGTCACAAAAACAAATATGTAGTATTTAAACTGGGGCCTCCCTGGTGTAATATAGTATTACATATTGTTAAAGAGTCTCATTTATTCTAAACTGGTACTATTCGATAGTAAAGTCAGCACATTTAAGCTATGCACAGCCACTCCACCATGAGTTCAATCCCTGGCCAGGGAGCTAACCCTCATGGTGTAGCAGAACTCTCCTTTCTCTCCTGCTACTCCCCTCAGCAGTGTATTTCAGTAGAAGTGCCTGTTTTCCCCACTCTGTCTCTGGTGAACTCTCTCACTCTCCACACCTCTAGTCTACATCCCAGTTCATGTGTGCATAAATAAATTAAAAAATCTTTTAAAAATATAAACCAAACTATATTATTTAGGCATTCAGAAAAGAGTGGGGGTCTTATGGGGAGGCATTCAGACATTAGGTGGTAAGACAATGTAAGTAGTAAGGGAATGATTATTACTGAAATTAAGATAGTGGCCACTATTACAGAAAGAGGTGGGAGTGTTATGAGGAGACATCAGGGAGAATTATACTTTCAGGGTGCAGGCAATATTTTACTGACCTGGCTAGTAATTACTTGGATGTTCAATTTGTGATAAATATGTGTTTAATACAAATAAAACATTAAGGAAATGAACCAAATAATTTGAAATGTGCTAATTATATTACTGAGGATTGAGAAGTTATTAATCATGTACCCAGTATTGAGTCAAGCATTATAAGTCTATTATCTTCACTGAGTCCTAGAAACAACTCTTACCATTCTGATCCCCATATTATACATAAAAGGTCAAAATCAAGTTGCGATCTTAATCTCTTTGATTTCAGAATTTTTCATAAAATAGCCTTTCACAGTAGCCTCAAGTAAGGATTAGTATAACCTAACAGGGAATATAGTATTACATTTATTCTAACTGGTAATGTTTGATATTCAAATTTGTATTAATGCCGCAGCAAAATGTCATTTATAAACAAGGCATTTCTAGGGCACTTTGGTATTGGATATTTTGCTCTGGTTTTGTAACTTCACACTATGCCACAGAAATTCGTTGACTTTCCCTCTCGGAACCAGTACATCGTAATGTTTTGTTGTTGTTGTTGTTGTTGTTGTTTTAAGATTTATTTATTTATGCATACAGGCCAGAGGTGTAGGGGCGGTGGGAGGACTCACCAGAGACAGAATTGGAAGTAGAACAGGTTGACTGACAAAGAACACTGCTAAGGGGAGCAGCAGACGGATCATGCTGCGCCATGTGGTGACCTCCGGGGCTGGGATCGAACTCATGCTGAAGTGGCTTTAGCTTCTTAACGCTGTCCCACCAGGGAGGGCCATATTGTGGTGTTTTAAATATCACTAACCCTATCTCAGCTTTGCAGATGATTATTTATTATAAGCACCACCCAAACTACATAATAATCTGCTTCCAGACTGACTGTAGTATAGTAAACTACTTCTTGGGCCCCTAGGATCAACTTTTACTGGGAGAGGATGGGATTATTCCTTGCAGGAACAGACATTCATCTGGAGATCATAGAATTATCAAGTTGGTGAAATGCTATTTCCTCAAGTTCCTCTTTAGATGAGTTCTTACAATGTTACTGATTTATCCTTTTTTTTCCATTGGTTCATATTTTTGTGATACTATATTATGCCATTATTCCATGTATTTATCAGACAGTTCCTATGTAGGTTTTTTTGTAATCACATGGTGATTATAATCATTTCTGCATAATGTTAGAACATCAAGTTTTTAGCTAAAAATGGAGCAGCTGCTTACTGTTTTCCTTTTCTTAAGAAAGCAAAAACAACTTTAGATTAAATTATTTTGTCTTTTACAGAGCCTTTCCAGGAATTTAACCTATTGACTGTAATAATACCCCACCTTGAGGTAATAAGGAATAAGGGAAGACTGACAGACTCTCTTTTTAGACTTTAAGGAACCAGGTTTCTTTTTTTACCCAATTATATACCACTGTATATTCTTTCTTTTATTTCCCAGGATGTACTCATAAATTTTCTGAAGCAAAGTGTCAACACTAAAAATATGGCATATGTCTAAAGTTGACTGATATGCAAAAGATTTGTCTTACCTTCCTGTCTTATTTCCTTATTCCTAAACTCTTGAAACCAACAAAATCCAGTTTTTCTTCATCCTTACTTAGATTCATGTTCTTTGATTTGATTAACTGTAAAGTTTTTTATTTTTGTCTATCTTCTATTTTTGGACTTGATGAAGGCTCTTACAGTAATACTTTTAATACCTTGAAAAATACTATTCAACTTATACTCTTTTATTTTGTTCTGTAAAATCATTGATATTAATTAGTTAAGTCCAAGGACATTGTTATATTGACTACTGAGAATTGATTTAAGAATGTGTTTTTTAATCTACAGAGACAGTTTTCAAAGTGTGGTCTGAGTATATATAAGACCCTTTAGATTCTCTGTGAGGGGAAATCTACTGTAATAATAATACTAGGATGTCCTTTGCCTTTCTACCCTCATTCTGTCATGAGTGTAGACCTTAAAGGGACTACACTGCTTGTGATACTTGAATGTAAAAGTAGATATAAGAATCTCTCTTCTTTTAAGCCATACATTAAAGATACTTGAAAAAGTGTAAAATAGTGCCTTACTTTTTAATCTAAGTTTTTGTTTACATATTATAATTTATGTTAATATACAATTAGTGTAAACTGTCAATTTTAATTTCATATATTGTTTTCTTGATGGATATAAACCACATAAACTAAAGCTCTATAGGCCCTCAGTAATTTTTTATCTTTTTTAAGATTGATTTTTATTTATGCATACAAGAACTGTGGTACAGGCCAGAAACAGAATGGGGAGCAGAACGGGTATATCTACTGTAATACACTGCTGAGGGAAGCAGCAGGCGAGACAGGAGAGGTCTGCTGTGCCATATGTGTGTTAGTTCCCCGGCTGGAGAGCGAACTCATGTAGCAGTGGCTGGTGAGAGCTTGATAGCATTGAGACTTTAGCTTATGCACTACCAGCAATTTTTAGATGCATAAAGGGATCCTAAGAGTAAAAGGTTAGAGGGCAAAGTTAGAGAACCTGTAATCTTTGTGACCATTTTTTGTTCTCAAATGTTTGAATTTTTTCTTATACTTTTTGTTTTCAGTTTGCCATGTGTAAAATAAAATAATCTGTTTGTAGGTTGCTACAAACCTCAGGAAAGATCAGATTACTTGATGTTGGCAGCTGCTTTAACCCATTTCTCAAGTTTGAAGAATTTTTAACTGTTGGGATAGACATTGTACCTGCTGTTGAGGTATGCATAGTTCTGTTTTGTTTTGAGACTTTCCTGTTTTTACAAAGTAAAATTTTTACAAAGTAAAAAATTGTCTTTACATTTCTATAATAGGAAATATATGTCTTTGTACAAGTTAGAGATTATTTCTATTCAAAAGCAAATTTATATTTCATGAAAATGTTTAAGAATTTATTATCCATTACTAATACTGTATTTGTCTTTATTTTATTCTCTGTTTATCACCTGTTTTATAATAAAAGTCTTTAGTAATTTGCAAAGATTTTGAGATAGCTTTAATGTTTGGCTCATTTTTTTAATGTATCTCTTTTTAAAGTTAGTACTATGATGTAGAGTCATTATGGAATATCAAAAAGATCAAGACTTTGGAGTCAGCAAAATTTGATGAAATCCCAGTTATTTGTACTAAGTAGATGAGACTTAGCTTTACATAGACTGTTTATTTTAAAAATTAGATCATTTTCTCAATAACCACCACATATTATTTGCTGTTTTACTTTTGATATAAGTACAGTACTTTTGATATAAGTACACATACACACACACAAACACACAAATGTATACATTGGGTTAGAGTGTAAACTTCATGGGCTTTAGAGAGTCCCCCTCCCGTCCTCACTGTTATATTCCAAGCACCTCAAAAAATGCCTAGTATATATTGCGTGTTGAACCAAAAAAATAAAATGGAATCTAATCTTCAACCAACTGGGCTCTATATGGAGTTAGTGATTTCATAAGCTCATTGTATTGTTTACTTGATACCATTTAAAGCTAACTGATGCACTGAAAAGTTCCTGTATTAATATTCAACTTTAATAAGAATCTTTGCTATGTACCATTTTGATGACTTTATTTGATGTATATGAGAAACACTGAGGAACAAAAACATGCTAAAACTACTATTATCTCTACTGCTATAGATGGAGACAAATATTTGCTTTATGGTAAAATACCTTCTCTTATCAACTACAGAGAATTCCTGAGTCATCAGGAGCTGGTTGTAGAATACAGATTACTTCATGCATGCATTCTCTCTCCTTTCCTGAAGACATACATTAGAGATGTCCTTCAAGGACATGATGACCATTTCATCTAAACTTCAGGTTTAAATACTAAGTTTTAGCTTTATTTATAGATAAGACTGTGAATTTTAAGCTCTAAGGCCATTAGAGAAAGCAAAGAACTGTACGTAAGTTCATTAATAAAGTCAGACTTTCACAGTCTTAGAACCTTATAACTAATTTTAAACCAAAAGGGGTATTTTAAACCAACCAGGTAGAATAATAGGAACCAATTGATCCTCTTTTCCTTTCTCTGAAGAGACAAAAGTTGTACAAAATATACAAAATAATGTATAAAACACTGGGCATCAGATAATGAAGGAGATTGAAAACAAAACGAAGAGTCCTTCAGTTGTATTAACAGATTGCCTTCAGAGAGTTTCAGACATGACACAGAAAAGAGAGGTCTCAGCTTATTCCAGTTGTGGAGCCAGAGCTAAGAGTCCTAGAAGATGGAGGACATCTAGTTTGTAGGGCAGAGTATTGAAGATGAGAGCTGCACAAAAGGAAATGCTATAGGACTACAAGGAGTCCTCCTTAAGTACTTACCTGAGTACTAATGAATAAGGATAAATGCGTGAGAAAACTACATGAGGCTTAAGAAAAATACCACCTGAACAACTAGAAGTTACCTTGTGTAGCACTCACACAGACTGGAAATATGTTCCCACCAGCCATACTGGATTGCATAGAATACACCCAAAATATTTGCTTGTGTTATAAATGGGAATAACTAGCCATAGACTGAAAACTGCTTTGGTTTCATCTAGCAAATCAAAAAGCAGAACCTAAAAAGATCGAATTGTCTCCAGGTAATTTAATTAAATCCCAGAGCATAGCTCAGGAATATTAACAGTAAAGCACAGCTATCCCAATTCCTAACAAGGTAAAATCCACTATGTCTGACATCCAGCAAATAAACCAGCCATGTAAAACCAAGAAAATGGGACTCTCGCAGTAAGGAAATAAATCAGCTAATAGAGACCAACCCAGAACTGACATAGATTTTGAAATTAGACAATAAGTATATTAAAATAGGAACATTATGACTACATTCCATATATATATATATGTAAAGCTCAGTATTGTAAAGATAGCTATAGTAGGGAACAGTAGATGGGATTGAATGAAGGCAAAGCAAAGATTTTTTTAGATACACAAAAACTGAAAATTCAAAATCTGCATACTGCTTGATCACCTTAGAGTTCTGTCATATAGAACTGTGAGACAATACCTTTCAGTTGTTCAAGCCATCCAGTGGCTTATGTTATATCTAGTAAACCAACATAGGAGATAAAATGGAATCAAAGAAATTCAATTAATCTAAAAGATTGCAGAAGATGTAGGAAACAGTGAACAGATAGATGAAATGAAAATTAGATGGCAAGATTATACCTATAATACATATATATTAAGTGTGTCAATAATGACACTAAATAGATATGATAGGCCAATTAAAATAATTGAAATTAGATTTAAAAAAGGAGATTCAAATATATGCTACCTGTAAGAAATGCACTTAATTTTTTTTTAAGATTTATTTATGCATACAGAGCTGGTGTACAGGCCAGAGGTGCAAAGGCAGTGAGAGGATTCACCAGAGACAGAGTTGGGGACAGAACAGGCAGATTGACAAAGTACACTGTGAGGGGAGCAGTGGGCAAGAGAGGATAGTTCTGCCGCGCCATATGGATCACCTCCAGGGCGCAGGGCGGGACCCGAACTCATGCTGAAGTGGCCTTAGGTTCTTAGTGCTGTGCTTTAATCCGCTGTGCCACCAGGGAGGGCCCGAAATGCACTCAAATTTTAAACATGAAGATCCAAATTAAAAGCAAGAGGCTAGACAAAAGAAAACTGATATCACTATTATAGTCAAACATATTTCAGAGTAAAGAATATTCAGAGGGATAAAGATGGTCATTTTATAATGATAAAAGAGTCATTTCATCAGGAATACATACCAATTCCAATCATTTATGCATCTAATAACAAGCTAGGGGCCTCCCTGGTGGGACAGTGGGTTAAAGCGCAACACTGCTAGCTGCAGCTGCTTTGGTGTGAGTTTGACCCCAGCCCCAGAGGTGATCCACATGGTGCAGCAGACCTTTCCTGGCTGCTCCCCTCAGCAATGTACTTTTTCTGTCCGCCTATTCTGCTCCCTGCTCTTGTCTTTGATAAATCCGCTCACTACCCCTGCACCTCTGGCCTGTATCCCATTTCTGTATGAATAAATAAATAAATCTTAAAAAAAAAAATACTTGAACCAAAAACTAATAAAATAGCTAGGGGAAACATTTATAAAATTATAGATGGAAATTTCAGTACCTTTCTCAATAATTAGTAGAGCAATTAAAACATCAAAGAAAACCTCAATTTAGGAAATTAGGCCATATTTTGAGATGAAGATAAAAAACATGAGATACAAAATGTATAGGATGTCATCAAAATAGTAGAAGAAAGTTATATTTTCTTCTTTATTAGAAAATAGGAATGTCCCAAAGCAATGACATCAGGTTTTTAACCGGGGGGAAAAAAAATAACAGATAAAAAAAAATAAAGACCAAAGTAGAAATCAATGAAATAGAAATTTTAGGGAAAAATGATAAAAAACTAAAGCTACATTAGTACCCTTCATGAATATAGGTGCAAATGTTTTACACAGAACTTTAGCTTTTTAGGTCCAAAAGCATTTTCAAAAGAATAATTCAATTAAGGCCAAATTTGGTTTATACTTAAGTGTGCAAGATTAATTTAATGTTCTGAAAACATCTATTCACAGTAATACACAAAAGAAAGATTATCTTGATAGGCACAGGAAAAGCTTTTGACAAAAATACAAATATCTTTTTCCTAATTAAAAACTCTTAAAAAGGAAAAAAAAACTCAGAAAGAACTGAAGAAAATTTCCTTAGCTTCTTAAATGGTATCTGAAAAAACTACAGTTAACCCTCTTAAGAGTGGAAGAAAATGTCACTCCCTCAGAACTAGAACAAAATAAGGTTATCTACTCTTTTTTAAAAATTTATTTATGCATACAGAACTGGGGTACAGGCCTAGATGCAGAGGCGGTAAAAGGATTTACCAGAGAGAGTGGGATGCAGAGTAAGCACATCAAGGAAGTACACTGCTGAGGGGAGGAGCCAGTGGTGAGACAATAGAAGTCGGCTGCACCATGTGAATCACCTCCAGGGCCATGGATTGAATTTGCACTGAAGCAGCTGGGGTCAGCTTGCAGTACTGCATCCTAACCTGTTGCACCACCAGGAGGGCCAGGTTATTTAACCTTAATACTACTACTTAGCATTTTCCAGCGGTTCTAGTCTGTTCAATAAAGGAACAAGAGAAATAACAAGCATCCATCTTGGAAGGAAGAAAAATAAAGCTATTTTTACTGCAGGTGATACAGAATATCTATTAGGTTATCTGTAGAGAACCTCCTAGAATGAATTAGTGAGTTTAGCAAGGTTGCTAAAATACAAGCCTAAATTACAATAATCAATTTATATGAAAATCAAAAAGTACCATTTATAATTATATCAAAAGTATATATTATTTAATCTATTGGATATATTCCCTTGAATATATTTCATATAAATACGACAAAAGTTATGAAGGACACTGAAAACTACACTTTATTCAGAGAAATGGAACCTAAATAAGTGAAGAGATACATTGTGGTTATTGTTGGAAAGACTAAATATTATTAACTCTCACTTACCTATTCCCAATTGTAGATCCAGCATAAGTCTTGATAAAATCCTACCAGACATTTTTTTTTTTAAAGATTTACTTATTTATTCATACAGAACTGGGGCACAGGCCAGAGATGTGGAAGGTGAGGATTCACCAGGAGCAGAGCTGGGAGCAGAACAGGCAGAGCGACGAAGTACACTGCTGAGGGGAGCAGCGGGCGGGTCAGTCAGGAGAGGTCTGCCACGCCATGTGGTCACCTCCGGGGCAGGCGGGAATCAAACTCATGTGGAAGTGGCTTCAGATTCTCAGTGCTGTGCTTTAACCATCTGCGCCACCAGGGAGGGCCCGTACCAGACATTTTTATACAAATTGAAAGACTTTACTCTAAAATTTTTTTTGGAAATTCAAGGGACTTAACAATAGTTAAACAACTCTTTAAAAAAGATAATGTTCAGAGAGTAACACTGGCTTGTTTTCAAATTTTATTGTAAAGTTACACTACTTAACAGACTATGGTACTGGTATCAAGGTTATACCAGTAAAATATAACAGAAGATCCACAGATAGGGCCAAATGTATGAGTATTCTGATTCATCTTTATTTCATTGTATTTCTTGTTTAAAATTGTTTTCATATTAACTTGTATGTTAACTTCTATTTGTGTTAGCCTGTATTCCAAATTACTATTCTGAATGAATGTAGACATGACTAAGTTGATAAATAAATCATTCCTATAAACTCATACCCAAATGAAATTTCAAATGAACACTATTTTATATACACTACAGCTATGTACTGAGTTGTTATGTAGAAATAGAATTTTAAATGATTAATTGAAGTTCTCTGAACTTAATTACACTGAAATTTTGTGGATAAAAGTTTTGGTTGAGTAAATCTGTGTAAATAGAATAATTTAGAATAGAAATGTACATTATTAAAGCTTGGAATGGTGAAATAGTTAAGATTTTACACCAGACTATTTTTACACATAAACCACAAAGTAGTCTTGAGCATAATCATGAATTCTTAACATGATTTTTTTTTTCCCATCCCGCAGAGTGTTTATAAATGTGACTTCCTGAACTTACAGCTTCAGCAACCACTCCAGCTTGCACAGGATGCTATAGATGCCTTTTTGAAGCAACTGAAAAACCCCATTGATTCTCTTCCTGGAGAACTTTTTCATGTGGTTGTTTTCTCTCTCCTCCTTTCCTATTTTCCATCACCTTACCAGCGATGGATATGCTGCAAGAAAGCTCATGAACTGTTAGTATTAAATGGTTTATTGCTTATCATCACACCTGATTCCTCCCATCAAAACCGTCACGCTATGATGATGAAAAGCTGGAAGATTGCTATAGAATCCCTGGGCTTTAAACGTTTCAAGTATTCAAAATTTTCACATATGCATCTGATGGCATTTAGAAAAATCTCCCTAAAAACCACAAGTGACTTGGTTAGTAGGAACTACCCAGGGATGTTATATATTCCTCAAGATTTCAACAGTATAGAAGATGAGGAATACTCTAACCCTTCCTGCTATGTTCGATCAGATATAGAAGATGAACAACTAGCTTATGGTTTCACAGAGCTCCCTGATGCTCCATATGACTCAGATTCTGGAGAAAGTCAAGCCAGCTCTATTCCTTTCTATGAGCTAGAAGATCCCATATTACTTTTAAGTTAATGTAAAAGCAAAAGGTCCTTTCAGTCCAGACTCCCAAACTAACTGCTTACACTAATCATAAATACTAACATGAACTCAGTACTTAACCTGGTTTGCATAGAAGAAATGCAAGGGTTTACAGAGTTTGCTATTTTTTTCTACTTCCGGATTTTAAAATTTATTCTTATACGGAAAGCTTAAAGTTTCATGCAGAGTGACTCCAGTCATAGCAGAAACCACTGTTACTGTAGCATTTAGCACTAAGATATCATAGAAAGGTACCTTTTACTCTTTAGTGCTATTGTGAAAACGAAGCATAATTTGCTATGTAGTTTCTTTTTTTTTTAATCTTTCAATGTTGAGTTTAAACCATTGCAATGAGAAACTTAAAGATATGTAGAAAGCTGTAGATTGCACTTTGATGACTCACAAGTTAAATGTGACACAGGTAGATTGGCTTAGCTGTTTTTGTGACGCACTTAATTCTTTTTTTCTAACTAAATTGTTATCTGTTACAGAAAGTCATTTTCTGTTCAGTTTTGTCTGATGAATCCAGTATTTCTTGAACATTTTTGGAATGGATAATTCTTTTACCTTCTTCCTTGCTCATTTGGCAGCATCAGACATTGGGGCAGAGATTTCCCCAGAAGTATATATTTTAACTTCATCAGTACAGTACAATAAACACCATTGCCAAAGTAAAATTTTCATGTATTTCTTGTTGATTTGGGCCTTGGTGTTTAGTATATTTAACTGTGAGATTTCACTTTTACCTTTTTTTAAATTTAGGTTTCATTTACAAAATTTTCTATTTAAGTGAGGAATGATGTAATATTCGAACTAACCTAAAACACCTTTGTGAAGGGTTTGCACTTGTAAGAGACCAACTTTGAATAGGGTTCTCACCTTTCTCTTAAGGAGGTGCTGCACTACAAGTCTGGAATTATATTAAAATTTTAAAATTAACCTGCTGGTAATTTCATAAAATGGTTTTGAAGTTTGGTGTTCTAATTTCTGCTTAAATCCTACCAAAATTTTTTTTCCTTTGAATATATAAACTATTAGTTGGCCGTGGGAATTTTCCCTTTCCACATTGATAAATGCCTTTCTGTGTTTCTGAATCAGAAGCAAATGATTAAGAGAAATATTTGTCCAAACAAGACAAGATTAGTTTAAATAGCTAAGAACATTTAGTCCACATTGTCTTGTCAGCCAGCAATTGTCATGTAAACTATCATTTTTAAGAGTGCCACTGTGTGGATTTTTTTTTCAAGTGGTTATTACATTAAAATTACCTCATACTGAGGTTTTTGCACTGAAATATCACAGTTTCAGATTTCATGGTTAATGTTTTGTGCGTGTGTATGTGTGTTTTTAAAGGAAACTTGCATTTTCAATAGCTGATCTAAATTTCATAAACTGCACTTCTTTATTCTGATGTTTTTGTGCTTATTGTGAATTGTTGTAGTTAACTTTGACTGTCAAACTTCATTAGAAATGCAAAATTTACCCATTGAGATATAAATTGTTGTGTGTACCCAATATCTCAAATTAAATTTCATGTTCTAAATTAATGGAAGTAACAAGATTATAGTTAATGTCAGTTGACTGAATGCAATAAATATGCCAGAAGTAACTTGAATTTTTTCATTTACTTTCAATAGCATAAGATCTCTTAATAATTATAATTGACTTTTTTTCCAAATAAGCACTACAGGTCATGTCTTGTAACTATGCCAAAAGAGGAAAGAAAACACACTGTTGAAGATAACACAAACTTGTTTTGGTAATCCCTTGTAATACACTATACCATTGTGTTTGTTTTTTACTATTATTAAATGCTATTTTAAGGGCAAAGAAAATAATACATCAAACAAAAGTGCTTTGAAAGTAAATGAAAACAGTGCATTTTAGAGGCTGGTGTAAGAATGACCTGGGAGTCAACCTTTGTGTTACAGCTAAAATGTTGGTGCTATAAATTCTTCTGATTGTTTACAGATGTCGATTCTGCATATGCCCCAAAGTGTGCATGATGTATTTTAAGTAGTACTTTAAAAAAAGTCTCTTTATAAAACCTACACCCACTTAGTATAAATTTGTTTCGATTTAAAAGTATCATTTGTTACTGTAAATTCAGTTCATCCAAATTAGGTTGGCACAGGATTTAAACTAATACATGTTCCACCAAAGCCAATTCAATGTATGTGTTAAAATATAAGCAGTCATATGGCTTGATGCCAGATTGTATATGTTATGACAATAGAAGTTAATAGAGTCTTCTAATACTGTATGGGTACTCTTGAAAATGATTTTATTTGAATATAAAGAAGTTAAGAGGCCTCCAACCACTTCACAATAGGATCCTCCAAGATAATTTTGTGTTTCAAAAGCAAATGATCATTTGGTTGGATTCTTCAGGATCATGACTAGATCAGGTGGTTTATATCATAGTTGCCAAGTGATGGGAGGTGGCATACCTGAAAAATGTATGTTTGTGTTTGTTGTATTTTTTCACATTTTGTGAACAAAGCACATTTATTAAAAATTTTAAATTTTCTAATATTCATTGTCTATTATAAACTGAAAGTCTTGTGGTCTCTGATATATCTCATTAAATGATTTCAAAATTGGGAAAGAAGTTAGTACTTGAAGACTTTTAGAATTTTCCTGTTAGCTTCATCTAGTCAAATTTTTTAATTATAAATTCAATCACTGAGATTCAGAGGTGTTCAAGTAAATTCCCTACTATCGTGCCTTTTATTGAAGCACAAGGACAACAGTCAATATAAATTCCATTTTATTGTATGTCAAACATTCCATAATCTACTTTTTTTGAAAGTTACTTACATCAGAGATGATAATTTTAGGTAAGTATATCAGTTACTTAGGGTAGCAGATGTCTTTCTCATGATGGGAAGAGCTCTTTATTCATCAAACAAATATTTGACTTCTACCATGTGCATTATGTTGAGAAAGAGTAGGGTTTGGGGTAGTCTCAGCTTTCATGGAGCTTATGATTTTACATGGAATTAATATTTGTATCTAGGAACAACTGCCCGCTGATCCTGTACCTCTTTCCTTGCTTTTACCTACTGTAATTTGACCCCAGAAATGAAATAGGAGGCAAAAAAGTTTTAAACACATTGTTTGGAAATTAGAAACATGTTGTAGATAAAGCGATGTATTGTTCATCTCTAGCAAAGAGCATGTGCAAAACAAATTACCTGATTGTGAAACAGGAAAAGAATTCTATGAGCCCTCTGATGCGATGGTATTCCTCTTTAAAGAGTCTACACGCTAAGCAGAACATAGATTTAAATTGTGGTTTCTTCTTGATGTTATAAATAGTGAGATGATAGGGAAGGTGGAAAATAAATTCTAGTAGTCCAAAAATAATAATACAAATGCTTATTTAAGGAATGTTTGTAATTTTATTCTTTAAAAAACTTAATTCCAATAACCTCCATGATAGTCTGCAATTAAAATAATTTATTTCCAGCCCCCCACCAAATATGAGTAGTAACCTATCTTACAGAGTATAGAAGTAGGATACATTATTTAATAATTCAAGTACATATAATGTTTAGAAAACCCAACACTTTTTTTTCTAACCCTGTTTTGTCTTAATAAAAAATTCAAACCTCAACTAGAAAGTACTTTACTTGCAATTTTCTTTACTTGCAATTTTCAAGTAAAGATCTTGTTATGTGTGGCACTATGGAATGGTAATTTAGCATAAGCTTTAATATAGATGTTGACATAAGCACTATTTAAATTCTTTTGAATTTTTTTTTTTAAAGATTTATTTATTTATTCATACAGAACTGGGGTACAGGCCAGAGATGCGGAGGGTGAGAGGATTCACCAGAAACAGAGCAGGGAGCAGAACAGGCAGATCGACGAAGTACACTGCTGAGGGGAGCAGCGGGCGGGTCAGGAGAGGTCTGCCACGCCATGTGGTCACCTCCGGGGCAAGCGGGAATCGAACTCATGCAGAAGCGGCTTTTAGATTCTCAGTGCTGTGCTTTAACCCGCTGCGCCACCAGGGAGGGCCCCTTGAATTTTATTTTTAATCTGACACCTTGGCTCATTAGAAGACATTCTACTTTTTGTACTAATATAAAGCATTTGTTAATATCACTGCTTGGTAACTATTTTACATCATAGATTTTAACAATTTCTAAGATTAAGTACATCTGCACTATAAAATATAATAATGCCATAAAGGTACCTATATCTGTGTTTTTTAAGTTAAAGGAAAATACATGGAATTATATATCTCATAGACACTCACTATAGAATTGTTTCTTGATTATTTTTTATTCAGAAGACTGTAAAACAGGGGACCCCTGATGGCCTAGGGGTTAAGTCTCAGCATTATCACCACTGTGTCCTGAGTTTGATACCAGGACCAGTTGCTGAGCCACATGGTTCAGTAGACCTCTCCAACCCACTACTCCCCTCAGCAGTGTATTACAGTCAATCTACTTGTTCTCCCCACTCCTGTCTGATGAGTCATTTCACCCCATGCACCTCTGACTTAACAGTCCAGCGCTTCTACTAGGATTGATGCAAGTCATATCTAGAAGAATATGATTTGTAGTAACAATTATATATATGGTTATTATAGAATCCACACTAGGTCATTTACATTTTCATCATTCCTAGACCTACAAATCTCCCTTACACTTAGGTTTAAGTCTATTTCTTTCAACATACATGGCTATGACCAGTATTTCTGTTTTTCCAAGTGCCTGGACTATCATAACACCTCTGCTTGGATGAGTTTGCAGTTTGAGTGGAAAAGATAAAGTTCACTTTATTACCACAGGCCTTTTTACTAGGAATCTAAGAGAAAATGTGTTCCAGTCAGTTTTTCAATGAATACAGAAGATGGGTGATTTCTGGGGAAAGGAGGTTAAGTGGGCCAGATTTTTGGATCCTATCTGCAACTGAGAAGATGATTAAACAGAACCTGAAACAAGGGCCAGTGGCGTTAGAAGGAGCTTTATGTTTTCCAGTTACACTGAAGCATTTGTACAGATTTAAATACCAAAGTGCAGGTTACTATGACAGTAAGGACCTGGAAATTTGAAAGATAACATTTTCAATTTTAATAGAGAGGAAAGTTGATGGTCTGGAGCTTGTGTAACCAACCCATTAGAGTGAGGAACTACAGAACAAAAGGATGTTATAAAACCTATCTCTTCAGTTGCTTGTAGCTGGGCACATGCTAACACTGCTCAGGTCAGTATTATAAAATTTTAAACAAGTCTGTTATAATGAAAACTCCCAAAAATGTCTTTTGTATAAAGAAGCAGCATCATTTTAACATAATTGGTATAGAGACAGTATTACAAACACAGGTGCATCGTGATACTTCTGTAGATTAAGTTCACTTCCCTAAGAATATGAAAACGGATACTCATAAGTAGAAACACAGATACTGTCACAGTAAAGACTTAGTCATTAGTTAGAAATACATTTGGAGTTGTTTTGAACTCATTCTACTGGTAGTTCAGCTCTGGGCCCTGCCCTATTCAATGGCCTTTTGCTTAGGAAGGGGGTGGATGATTTCAGAATTTGACTGGGATTCTACTTGCAATTCTCTCTCATATTCTTTTTCTCCCTTTTGAACTTGCCTACTACAAATCTTTGAGCACACCCCATATGCTTTCCTTCCCTTTAGCATTGATAATTTTTTTTTCCTTTTAGCAGTGTACCTGGGCATACCATGATTTCTCCCAGAATGATTTTTTGACTCTGACAGGGCTTGAACCTTCTGGCAGACAATATAAGGTGTATCAGTTAAAATAACAAACCAGAAGTGGCTCAAACAATAATGACACATTATCTCTGAAGTAACTGAGAGTTAGTGGGAAGTCCGTAACCTCTGGCAAAGATTGCTTCTTGTCACTTCATATTTATTCTCCCTTTTTTCCTCAGAGAACTCAGATTAGTGGGCATATGGCCATCCCCAAACTTACCACTTTTCCTAGACTGTATAAATATTAAATACTGGTCAGTGTGATGTAAGCCAAAGTGTCCTATGTAACTTCCAAGAAGTGTCATGACAGTGGAGGTGAGTAAAATACATTCACCTCCTGTACTTCTTCCTTTCTCTGGATTAGAATTCAGAAGTGATAGTCTGAAATTAAGCAGCCATCCTAAAACATGAGGAAGCCAAGTCCTGAGAAAGGAAGGGCAGCAAGAGAAAATCAGGATCTTTAATACTTTGGAGAACCAGATCTGCTCTGGAACACCTATTTCTGGACTTTATGTGAGAGAGAAACTGCTATTAAAGTACTTAGTAAATTATCTGACATATGCATCAGAACCGATTAATCCTTTCTCAAATCTGGGTCCTAGCCCTAGAGCATCTGATTAGGCAGGTCTTAAAGCAGGATCTAGTAATTTGTATTTCTAGCTAGTTCCTAGCATGCAAATAAATGGTTTAAAGACTGCTCATTAATGGAGGTAATAACTTGGTGGTATTTAATCCTTGCTTTACATTAGACTTACTGGGGAGAGCAATGAAGATCTTTAAACACACACAATCCGCCTAGGTCTCACTTCAGAGGAGACTAATTGATCTGGGATGGGCCTGGGAATGGGTGCAGGTTAAAATGGATGTAAAACAATGGTAGTTAAAAGAAAAAAATATGTATCTTTCATTGATTCTCAGTGTGAATAACAGAATGAGACTGAAATATCTGTTCCCCCACAGAGGGGAATGACATCTAGAAAATTGCATTTATCTATGGCCTAGGACTTGAAGACAGACGACAGGTTTAAGTTACTGCCCTGGGACCAAGCAGTTTCTCTAGTCCTTGGCATTTTATTTATAAAATGGTGATGAAATTATTTACATCGCTAGTTTGTTGTTTAGTTTGCATCATCTAATATAGATAATAATATTACTTTGTAATCTCATAATACTATAGAAATAGCACAGAAGGTGGCTTAACAGGTCAATAACCTGATCTGGTTTAACTCTAGAACTGGATTGAAGAACTGAAAGAAGTAGGAGGGAAGTAAGAGGAAACAAAGGAATAATGTCAGGCTCATCGGACATTACTCCCTGCCAAAGAGACTGGCATGCACTGTAATGGTGATCATCCATTTCTAATTCCACAATTCTGTCCCCTGCCCTTTAATTTTTTAAAATTCATGATATTTCAGCAATAACTCTTTGAAGTAACTCTACTGGGTAAAACTGCTGGCCTCAAACACAGAATTTGTATGCTTAGAAATAGGTGTTAAACAATAAATGTTCCAGATATAAGAATAACTACAGTGCCATTAATAACTTCATTTTAGAATCTCCTGTCCCTGGAGTGGTTACCAAGTGGCTGTTACACATCCAAGCGTTTGACCATGGATATACAGATGTCAGGCAATGACCCTGAAACATCTGATTTCAGAATAAATACAACCAGCCACCCTGGAAAACCTCAGGTACCTCACTAAAGAGTTTGGACTCTTTTCTGTAGCCTATTGAAGTAATTGGTTTTCGTACAAGAAGTGGCACAGAATGGTGTTCTGAGAATCTCAGTCAGGAGTCCAGTGTGATGGTGATGGATTAGCCTGGGGTAAGGATGACATTTATATAAACAGTGGGGGGGAGGTGGTAGGGGCTAGGGAGGGCCCAGGGATTAGGGCCTTAACTAGGATAGTAGCAATGGAAGTTGAAAGGAAATGATAAATGCAAGAAATAGCACAGATGAAAATAAACAGCATTTGGTACTCACAGTTCTCAGGTTCTTTTAGTAAACAATGGTAGCCTTCAACAACTACAGACTGAGAGGGACCTGTGGTCTCCCTTTTGACAGTCTGCTCTTACAGTGAGAATTATACAAATATTTACCAAGGAGAAACAGAAAACAGTACACAAACAATATTTGTGGTAAGGTACTAAACAGCAATATAGTCTCAGGAATTCATTATGAAGGGTGTCAGTTTGCTAGATTCAGCAGATTTTAAAACCACATTTATGCAAGAACTGCCTGGATAATATTCTACCAGCATCAAACCTTGAACACCTGTTATTTCCACAATGAAACATTATTTCTAATTCTTTATGCTAATTGCATACCTCTAGTGCAGATTTACATAGTGATATTGGAAGTATTTGTGCACTCCACATTGTAGTGAAACTTTATGATTAGTGTCTTTCAAATGCTAATTAATTACTCACCCTAGAGTGTGCAGATTAGAATTAATTCTCACACATACTGTTTCACTGAAGTATGCCAACAAGATAACCTGTATCAAAAAACAGCTTTGAGGGCACGATGCATAGGATCACATTTGCGAAAGATAAAAAAAAAAAAGCACTGTGTAAATGAGGGATCTCTCCCATTAGGTCTGAAACCTGTTATTATTGGTTGTATTTCCTGACTGCATAGATTGAAGCTTACATCTCCAGCAGTTCTCCAAATTACTGAATATCCTTTATTAAAATTCTGCTCTGCTTAAATCAGCCACAGCTGTTTTGTTCCTTTCATCATCTCTATATTGAGGACTGTCAATATAGTGTGTCATCAATACAATATGCTTGGTGAACCTCCACCCAAACTCTATTAGGGGATATAGGACAACATATAGATGACACAAATAGAAACGAAACAGAAGGAGAGATTTGGATTGCTGAGGGTCTCTGTTGTATACTGTTATTTTATTTAACAAATATTTAAGTGCCAATTGTGTATCAGGCACTATGCTAGGATGATTTAATGGTCAAAAAATGAGTATGTCCTGAATTTGAGGAAATGAAAGCAGGCTAGGTGCAGAAGTGGGGTGGTGAGGGGAGGTAGGTAAGTGGGAGGTCAAGCTGAAGGTAATAAGGGACCAAACTTCATAATGATTTGTGGCTGCTTTAAAGATTTTGCACTTTATTCATCTGAAGGTATTGTATGGTATTTTCTGAGTATATCATCTCATTTAACCCCTACAAAGAACTTGTCAAGTAGATATTCTTAGCATCACTTTCATATGGGGAAACTGGGGGTTCAGAGATTAGTCAACTTCCCTAAGTACTACAAGCAGTAGAAAATTATGGTGGGTGTATAAATGGCAGGCAGGGAGTAAGGGAAGGGGAATTCATACTTCTGGAGGGCTTACTTTATGCCAGAAAAAAATAATTTCAATGAGGAATTGCGGCATCTTTACAAGAAAGGTTTCCTTACTAATTTTTAGATGGAGAAATTGAAGAAGGGAAAGAAGAACCAGGATTCAAACCCAAACAATGCAACTCCACCCGTGTGCAAATGCCTCTTCTTTGCGTTCATAGTACGATGAGGATCAGTGCTGGAGTTTGAAGGGCCCTCAGGCCCCAGACGAGACCGCTGAAGGTGAAGGGAAAGTGGGGTGGAACAGACTAAGGCTAGGCTGGGGTGGAACAGACTAAGGCTATGCTAGGGTGGAACTGCTATAGGTGGACGAAAGGCAAGGGTGGTGGATGAAAAGGAGCCTCAATTAGAAAAGCAGGCGACAGAGCTTTGAAGGGTTTCGGCTGGCCAGCGGGCAGAGAGCCATATATTATGCCATAGGACACAGCGAGCCCTTCGGTGGTCTTCCCGCACCCCGTTCTTGGCCTTTAACCCAGGTCCCGGAAGGCGTCACAGGTGGGAGAAGCCGGCCCCGCAGGTGGGGCTGTTGGCCTGGATCTGCGGCCCGGCGCACCTGAGTCCCGCGCTAAGCGCGTAAAGGCGGCGGGGGCCGGGCCTCCGGGAGGAAGCGCGCCGGGCGCTTTGACCCCAGCGGCGCTCCGTACCGTCGCGGACTCGGCGGCGGGAACATGGCGACCGCGGTGAAATCAGTAACGGAGAAAGTTTACAACGAGACTGGCCTGTACTAAGTGCGTGTAGCTTCGAGCCCTCGACCCCCCCGGCGTGCCAACTCCCGCTTACGAGTCGGAAGCTCAGCCCCAAAGGCCCTCCCTCTCCCCTGCGGGTCCCAGAGCAGTTTCCCAGGGTTGAGAGCGTCGGTGGCGGCGGCCGAGTCAGGTACGGGGGGTACGAAAGGGTGAATGAAGGGGCGGCGAGACTTGGGCACAAACACCGCCCGGGGCGCCGCTTGGTTTGGGCCCCCAGCTTCGCCCTGCTAGTCTCCCAGGACGGGAGTAGGGTTACTTGTCCTGGGAGAAGTTGGGGGTGGAGGGTAGAGGGTGGAGGAGGGAAGTTCGCGGGTTCGTCCTGGTATCGTGGCGGTTCCTCTCGCGTCGGGCGTCGGTTTGTGTTCGCCTTTTCTCTAGTGGAAGGATAGTTGAGGTACCCAGGCCTCGCGCCGCTTGCGAGGAGGAGGCCGAATGGAAGGAAAAAAACCTGCTGCTGCCTTGTTGCTGAGGGATTTAACGTTTGAGTTGTAGTTCTCTTAGAACTGAAGCACTGGAGTTGCCCGACCCTACCTGCCCCTGGTTTTTTTCAGCTTTTGACACTTGCCCCTAGATGGGACAGAAATAGTTTTAGTTGAAAGCTGATGCACGTGATAGTGTGTCTTGGACTCCTTGGCTAGCTGTTCCCTGGAGGAAGGACATGGAAAAGAACTGGTTTAGTTTGGATGAATTAAGTGAAGGCTGGAGTGAGGCCAAGAGAGAAAAATCAGATATCCATGGATGCACCCCCTTAGTTGTGGGCTACGAGAAAAGTGTGTTCTCTTCGCAAGTGTCCAGCCGGCATTGTTATTAAATGTAATTACTTCATTAGTCTTAGTTTTTTCAAGATGTATTTGTTCATTATCTGCTTGGTATCAGACTTTCTGCTAGACATTGGACATGCAGTATGGAAGACACTTTTTCAGTAACCTTGTAATCCAGTGTTGGGGGGAGGAAGGGGAATGCAGCCATTAGACAATGACCGTGATTTTGCTGTTAGGAGAAAATAGGAGGTCAGCTAGTAAGTGGTAATCAACCTAAAGAAAATTATTTCACCTGGGACCTGAAGAATAAGGAAGGAATAAGTCAGGTGTGAGTTCTAGGTGGGAACAGGTGGAGAAAAAGGAGTGCTGGAGAGGGAAGAGCATCTGTGCAGATCAGAGTTGAAAAGGCAGCATGACTGGACTGTAAAGTTGAAGAGGTAGTGTGGGAAAAGATTAGGTGAGAAAAGTTGTTCATGTCCAATGTGCAGTACCTTAGAAGATTTTGTAAGAAGTTTGGGCTTAATTACTGAGAGTGATGGGGAACCACTGGAGGGTTTTATATAGCTGAGCAACATGACAAACTTTGGTTTTAAAAAAGGATCTTTGAGAAGGGCAAGAGTGGATACAGGAAAATAGTCAAGCAAGAGATGGTAGCCAAAAATCAGTATGGTGATGGTAGGAATGGAAGGAAGTAAAAACATGTAAGATATTTAGAAAGAACAGTGAACAGAACTTGGTGAGGATTAGATATAGGTGGGGAAGGTTAGATTTGTATATAGGGTTTTGTTTTTTTTTTTAAGATTTATTTATTTGTACATACAGAACTGGTACAGGCCAAAGGCTCAGGAGCGGTGAGAGGCTTCACCAGAGACAGAGTGGGGAACAGAACAGGCCAATCGATGAAGTACACTGCTGAGGGGAGCTGCGGGCGGGTCAGTCAGGAGAGGTCTGCCGCGCCGTGTGGTCACCTCCGGGACAGGCGGGGATGGAACTCATGTGGAAGCGGCCTTAGATTCTCAGTGCTGTGCTTTCACCCGCTGCGCCACCAGGGAGGGCCCTGTATATAGGGTTTTATAAAGAAAACGCTGGCCATTACAATTTAATTTTCCCTGTATACATATTGACTCTTGTGTTTTCCATATTTAATCTGCCTCTCAAATAATTTCCCATTGAGTTACTAGTGATGGTGGATCAATTGAAAAAAGGTTATGTTTTATGAAGAAGGTCACAATGGGGAAAGACTTGTAAACTGGTCACTCAAAAACAATTATCTTCCATGTGGTTTTAGCCTGTAGGACAATGGCTTCTGTCCATTATATGGATATGCTGTACTTGTATACATTTTGTGTACATTTACTTTGTTTCCAGATAGCTAACAGTGCAGAAAGGACCGATTTTCAAATTTTTATAAGGTAGATTAATATATATATGTGTATGTGTAATTGAAGAGAGATAATAAGTAGCAATACGGAAATAGTTAAAATTAATCTTAGCAAGTGTATAGTGATAGAAAAGCCCAAGTTTGGGATTGAAAAAGGAATGAATTGAAAATGAACAACCTGCAAGAAGCTGTAAGAAGAAGAAATGTGTGTTTTAGGAAGAGAATCTATTGACTGGTCTTTGAAAGCTAAAAGAAGGGTAGATGGGAAAAGTCAGTAATGTTAAATGTTTTTTGCAAAATATGCTGGGTAATGAATGAGCAGTGCCCAATGGATTAGGGATTCAGAAATCACTTCAGAAATTGAAAGAACAGTTTGTTGTGTGGTGGAAACCATGTAGTGGGCTAAGCAAATATTAGGTAACCTACTAGAATATTGAATTTGGAAGAGAATGTTAAGATGACTAAGAATTGTTTGTTGATCCTGTTTCTGGGGATTTTTTTTTTTATAATGTTAAAAAGTGATTTACAAATGTTTAAGAGATAGTGGATAAGAGATGGAGTTTGAGAAAATTCAGAGAAGAGATAGAGTTTTGACCGAAAGATTTAGCCTTAGCTAGGTGTGTGACCTCTTTCATGTGTCAAGAGACATGGAAGTGGGTTGGTGGTGTTGGAAACTCAAGTTCCCCTGGTGATTCTGCTGGATGCAAAATCTGGTGAGAATTCAGTGACTCTCAGAGATTGAAGAATGGGGAAGGAAGATTTAGGTACTCAGAAGAAAACAGGAAAAAGAATTGATCAGAGAAATAGAAGGCTCATGAATTAGAGTGGCAACCTTTCAGCCTGATGTGTTTTTCTTCCAGCACTGTTTAGTATCATAAGTCCTTTGAGAATTTATATCCCAACATATTTTTTGAATGACTATATAACACATGTATTATTTTTAAAAAGCAATGCACTCAATATTTTGTCATTATTAAGCTAAAAGTTTTTCAGTCTTAAATAAAACAATAAGCCCAAATATACCAAAGGAAAATTTTAGAGTCTTAAGAAAGAAAAATTTAAATGTAACCTGAAGACAGCCAGTTAGACCACTCACTGACATAGATTTAGCTGTATAAAACATAATGTTGAATATACAGAAATAGAATTAGTATAATACTAGGAACTTCCCATAGACCTTAAATTGACAGTCTTCTCCAGTCAAATGGGTAACTAAGGGTTAATTCAAGGTGTCTTATATTTTTGTTGAGTTGTTATTTTAGTGTCCTACTACTAAAGTATAAATAAGCTCATCACAAAGTAGTTAATTCTTGTATTTTTATCTGCTTGAGTTCTCTATGAGCAATTGCATCGATCAGTTCTTCTGAAAACTACTAGAAAATCTTAAAGAATTAACGTAATAGAAAGTTAAGCCATTTTTTTGAACATTGTCACATTTCAGTTGTAACTTACAGAGTTGTGTAAGGTTGAAGAAAACTATCTGTGTTCTCTAATAAATACTTGTTAGGTTAACTTTAGTAGAAACAAGGTTTTTAATTTCAACTACAGTTGTTTACTGTTCTGACTTCATTTTTGACTAGAAAATTCAAATTGGTTTGTTGCAGTTAGGTTATTTAAGATTTGGAAAGTCATTTTGGTAATCAAAGAAAACTTACAGAGGTAAAAGTACAGGGAGAGTTAAGGAACAATTTTATAGGGGAACAATTTTATGGCGTAAGTAACTTTACTACAGTTAAAATTTACTTAAAGTAACTTTACTAATTAACAGTGTAAAGATTAATACTTCATAGCACTTTAAGAGTCACCTTGTAAAAAGATACAGAGGATGTTAGGCAGATAGTAGTGGTCACTATTATTATATGATGTGACATTCAAAAGAGATGATGATGAATTATCCTTATTTTTAAGTGATGAGTAGCTTTCCATTGTGTTAAGCCCCTCTGCTACATCTAAGCTATATGAATATCTCATTCACATGTTGATAAACCAGATATTGGAATAAGAGTAGGTTTATGTGAATTCCTCACCATCCCTGGGAAAAGTTTCATTGATGATTATTTAGTCATGCGGTCTTAGTACTTAATGAATAAAAAGCACTGACATTTTTGTTTGGATTAGGTACTGAGTTTTTTAAACAAAAAGCTATTATCTTTATTTAGTTTTTAAACTGGGCTGCAGATGAAACTCTCATTCATTATTTTGTATAAAGAAGATACATGTAAAAGATAAATTAAATTAACCATAAAACTTTTTTCTTCTCTTTTAGATAACTATAAACAAAATTCCACCTCAGAAAATGTTGGAATAGCAGTTGCAAGACACATTGGATTTGCTGGATGAAATACAGTTAATTTTTGTAACGTACAGCGAAAGCCCAAATTGTCAGATTACATGTGTAAATCACTGCGTTACTGCTTTAGTCATTGTCTCTATTTAGCAATGACAAGACTGGAAGAAGTAAACAGAGAAGTGAACATGCATTCTTCAGTGCGTTATCTTGGCTATTTAGCCAGAATCAATTTATTGGTTGCTATATGCTTAGGTCTTTACGTAAGATGGGAAAAAACAGCAAATTCCTTAATTTTGGTAATTTTTATTCTTGGTCTTTTTGTTCTTGGAATTGCCAGCATACTTTATTACTATTTTTCAATGGAAGCAGCAAGTTTAAGTCTCTCCAATCTTTGGTTTGGATTTTTGCTTGGCCTGCTATGTTTTCTTGATAATTCGTTCTTTAAAAATGATGTGAAAGAAGAATCAACCAAATACTTGCTTTTAGCTTCCATTGTATTAAGGATATTGTGTGCTTTGGTGGAGAGGATATCTGGTTATGTGCGTCACCGACCTACTTTACTAACTACGGTTGAATTTCTGGAACTTGTTGGTTTTGCCATTGCCAGCACAATTATGTTGGTGGAGAAGTCTGTGAGTGTCATTTTACTGGTTGTAGCTTTGGCACTGTTAATCATTGACCTAAGAATGAAATCTTTCTTAGCTATTCCAAACTTAGTTATTTTTGCAGTCTTGTTATTTTTCTCCTCATTGGAAACTCCTAAAAATCCAGTTGCCTTTGCGTGTTTTTTTATTTGTCTGACAATTGACCCGTTCCTGGATATTTATTTTAGTGGACTTTCAGTGACTGAAAGGTGGAAACCGTTTTTGTACCGTGGAAGAATTTGCAGAAGACTTTCTGTTATTTTCACTGGAATGATTGAGCTTACATTTTTTATTCTCTCAGCATTTAAACTTAGAGATACTCACCTCTGGTATTTTGTAATACCAGGCTTTTCCATTTTTGGAATTTTCTGGATGATTTGTCATATTATTTTCCTTTTAACTCTGTGGGGATTCCATACCAAGTTAAATGACTGCCATAAAGTATATTGTACCCACAGGATAGATAACAATAGTCTTGACAGAATCATGGCATCCAAAGGGATGCGTCATTTTTGCTTAATTTCACAGCAGTTGGTGTTTTTTAGTCTTCTTGCAACAGCGATTTTGGGAGCAGTTTCCTGGCAGGTAAGTTTATGTTTTTTCTGTTATGTCAGTATATATGATGTATGATGAAATGCCAGTTTCATGAGTTAAATTGTTAGAATTAGAAGTTCACATTCCTGATTTGAATAACAACATTCTATTGTTGGTGCTTATTTAATTTTTTTCATGGAATTGAAGTAGTAAATCAACATTAACAGGATAATTTAGTTGGCTCTCTAGCAAACAGGCATCAAAAAAAGTTAGGATTAGGAATGTTCATTATGTTACTTGCCTCCTACCTTAGAACTTGTTCATTAATAAAGCACTCATAAAATAAATATTAGATTATTAACATTGAAGGGTTCTTGCAGATCGTACTTTAATCCTGTCATGTTGCACATGAGAAACTGAAAGCTAGAGAAAATATTTCCAGACTCATTGGTAATAGTCAAAATAGGTTATCTGGTCCTTTAGAGACCAAGATAAAACTTCTATGGTTGGAGTTTGTATTAAAAAACTCAGTTTTCCCTCTTTCAACATTTATTGACTATATTACATGGCAAATATTGTACTGGGTGCTAAAGATTGCCAGGTGGATTAGAAATGACTGTCCTTAAGGAAGGAACATCCTAATGGGGTGGGGAAGAGGCAGACCTGTAAACAGTTACTACAGTGTGACAAATGCTGTCATTTGAGTACATCAGGCTGTGCTGTGGAGCATAAAAGGAATTCTACTGGTGTACTTTGGCACCAATTGTTGCAGTGACTTCTATACAAGTTTGAAAGGAGCTGTGGAGGCTCGTCTGAGCCTGGCACGCTCTAGTCAGTGTGGTTAAAACAGGCCAGATGATTAAAAAAAAAATATCGGGTGTGGCCGGAGGATTTCTTCCTCACTTGTCAGTGATAGGGACTGTCGAAATGAAGATGTTGGGGACACAGGAACCCTAAAAAGAATTCTCCTTTCCCCTATGTTGTCTGTATCTGTAGTTTTAGCCCTTTGTATTGTGAGCAGTAATTATTTGTTTATCCATTACTCATTGAGGGACGTTGAAATTATTTAGTTTTTGCTAATTGTGGATAAAAATTCTGTAAGTATTTTGAGACAGGGCTTTGTGTAATAATAACATAATTTACCTTCATTTGGTGTGAGGTTGCTGGGTCATTTGATAAACTTTTGAGGAATATGTTTCAGTTTGTAAGAAATTGCCAAACTCATTTTCAAGTGAGTGAAACATTTTATACTCTACCCAGCACTGAGACTGTGGGAGTTCCATTTGCTCCTTAAACCCACCAGTGCCTGGTGCTATTTTTATTTACTTAAGCATTCTAATCGACATATAATAGTAAACTTGGTGTGTATTTATTTTCTGTTTCCCGAGTGACTAATATGGTAGGCATCTTTCATGTTTGGCATCTTTGGTGAAGTACCTGTTAAGCGCTCTTAGACGTTTAAAACTAGGTTGTTTTCTTAAGGGTGAGTTCTAATAATTCTTTATATATTCTAAATTGTAAGAATGTATTTAGCCAATATATGGCTTATTTGTTCATTCTCATGATTTTTGAAGAACATTCTTAATTTTGCTATATTCTGATTTATCAATTTATTTGGTGAATTTTTTGATGTCATATATAAGAAATCTTTGCCTTACCTCATTTGTATAGACTGTGTGATCCCACACAATAACTTTATTTTTCCTCAACTTTATCATTTAATAACATTTTCAGAATAAGTCAGTAATATCATTCCAAGTCATTAACATTAGAATTCTGGAATTTTACCATTAATCTCTGTTACATTTTGTTCATAATCTCATTCCATTTTTAAAATGCAATATTGCAGCTGTTTTTTATGGTATGATATTCATTGAATGTGCCTACTTGCTTTCTTCTTTGACACTTGTTTCCTTAAATAAGTCATAAGAAAGACTTACACCATAGCATTTGGTGCTAATTTTACTGCTGTAAAAAAAAGAAAGAAAGAAAAGCTGTAGGCTTTTCTACAATTGAAATTACAATTGATAATATACATAAGGATCAAAGGGGAGGAAAGTATGCAGATACTCATGGAACATTATCCAGTGATTCTTACAGAAATGCTCTATGAAATCTTTAAACATGTGATTTTTATATTAAAGCCTTTCTTTGCCAACCAGCATCATTTTTTGATTCTATGAGGATTTGAGGTAACTCTTTGTAGAAATTCTCTTGCCTTCAACAGAAAAATTAATCACATTTGATTTCTATATAGCAGAAGCAATGGCTATCACAGGGTGTAACAGAGGTAACAAGATGTAAGGGATGTGGCGGTTTTATTTTAGCAAATAGCAGAATCAGGCACATTATTTCATTTGGTATGGGGAACAGGGAGGTTTTGAATGCTGCCAAAACAGAACAAAAATTCCATAATTTTTGTTTCATTTTCCTTCCTGAGGTTTTGTGCTATTTTAGTGTAACTAATTGGGGTGGGGGGAGAGGGGAAGGACAACAGTAACTCTTTTGACTAGAAGGTATGCTTTTAATTTGATTTATCACTTCTGGCAGAACACTGTGAAACAGGAGTAGATGCTATTTTCTCTTCCTCTAAATGCCAATAATGATGATATGAGTATTAGTTTCAAATATAAAGATATATTTAAGATTTATTATAAGAACTTGACATTTTTTATCCCTCCCAATTTTTCCTGTCCGCAACTACTTTTTCAGTTTTTAAAAACTGAAGAAATTAAGTGACTGGCAATGCCAATTATTTCCTCTTATAAAATTTTTAAAGATTTATTTATTCATACAGAGCTGGATACAGGCCAAAGATGTGGAGGGTGAGAGGACTCACCAGGGACAGAATGGGGAGCAGAACAGGCAGATCTATGAAGTACACTGCTGAGGGGCGCAGCAGGCGGGTCAGGAGAGGTCTGCCACGCCATGTGGTCACCTCCGGGGCAGGCAGGGATCGAACTCATGTGGAAGTGGCTTAAGCTTCTTAGTGCAGTGCTTTATTAACCCGCTGCACCACCAGGGCGGGCCACCTCATAAAATTTTTAAAGTAACATTGGTTTATGGCATGTCGCTTTCAGGTATACAGCATTCTATTTTGTCATTTGTATATACTTCATTTTAATCACCACCAGAAGTCTTCCCTCCACTACCATAAAATTTACCCCATTTTGCCCACTCGACTCCCCCACCTTTTCTGGTAACCACCATTCTGTTCTCAGAATCTAACTGTTTGCATTGTTTCTCTATCTGCAGTGTTTGAAATAATACTGTAGTTGTCTCCATCTAACTTATTTCACTTAGCATGATTCCTTCTGGTTTCTTCCATGTTTCACAAATGGAAAGATTTCATCTATTTTTTTTTAAAGATTCATTTATTTATGCATACAAGAACTGAGGTGTAGTCCAGAGGTGTGGGCTGAGAGGATTCACCAGAGAGAGAGTGGGGAGCAGAATAGGCAGATCCATTGAAGGACACTGCTGAAGGGAACAGTGGGTGAGATAGGTCTGTTGCACCATGTGGGTTAGCTCCCTGGTGGGCAGTGGGGGGATCTCATGCTGTAGTGATTGGCAGTAGCTTGATAGTGCTGTGTTTTTTAAGACCTGTGCCACCAGGGAGGCCCCAATTTCATCTATTTTTGTAGCTGATTAATATTCCATTAGGCACATATATATATCTTTATCCACTCGTCTGTCAGCGGGCATTTGGTGCTGCGATGAACATAGAGATGCACATCTTTTTCAAATTGTGTGTGTGCTTCAGATACATAACTAGAAATGGAATAGCCGAATCATTATGTATTTCTACTTTAATTTTGGGCTACACTGATTCCTACAAGTATTCCTTCTCCTCATCCTGCCAACACCTGTCTTTTCTTTTTCATAATGACCATTGAGAAAGGTTTCTGAACTTAATTCTAACACGCATGTATGTGAAGGCTTCTCCAGATAGGCAATTCTAAGATAACACAGTATAGAAGAATTCATCTCAATTTAGACATAATACCAGATTCTATATGTTAAGAGCTGGGTTTCCCAAGACTTCCCACTTATGACACCAGTCCTAAGTTAAAGCTATTAATGCTTCTGAGAGAGATTCCCCATGACTATCTCCTTAGGAACAGTTAATTTGGTAGAGGGGCTCACAAAGCTTTGAGAAATACTTCTATAACCAATCATTTGTTTATTATAAAAGGACAGAATTTGGTAATAGCCTGATAGAAGAAGAGATACACAGGACGAAGTGTGAGGAAAGGGCATGGAGCTTCCATGTGTTCTCTGGTAACCCCATTCTCACTAAATTTCCATGTATTCATCAACCCAAAGCTTGCCAAGCCCCATCAATTTGAGATTTTATAGTGCCTTATAAACAGGTTCAACTAACTCATTTGGCAATCTCTACCTGTTCTCCCCGCATCAGTTTTTGGATGGAACTGAAAGCTTCAATTCTCTAATCACAAGATTGGTTTTCCAGGCAACGAGCCCCCATCTTAAGGTGCTTCCACAGTCATCTCATTCACATGAGATGCCTTTTTCATATTGAACACTCAAGTTATACCTACACTTTTATAACCTATGAGTCAATAACTGTGAATAAAGACTTTTATATAGAAGTATATTTTGATTATTTGACCAAATATATATATTATAAATCATAATAGCATAGCTTTGTTCACAGGTGTGAGGTGATAGTATTATGGGGTTTTATTTTGTATATTTTTTGCATCATTTTTCATTTCTGTACAATGTGTACTTCTCCTCCTGGCTCTGTATAGTCTTCATAAAATTCCCATTTTTGATTCACCCATGTACCATCACAATAGTCCTCTGTGCTCTTCCCACCCATTTTGATCCTATTCCCCTCTCACTGCCTGCAGAATGTCTTTGGTTTATAGTTGCCTATTGATTTTGATTTTGATATTTTGTTATATATATATATTTTTTTTCCTGATCCCTTCTTTGGATCCTCTACATGCCTCCTGAGAATGAAACTGGTATTTTTCTTTCTGGTTTATCTCACTGAGCATGATCCCTTCCAGCTCCATCCATGT